CTGGCTTATGATAGTCATTAACGGCAGATAGGCTGCTTTGATATTGGATTTTATCTATGGATTTTCACGTGTAGTATGGATTTGTTTTAGTGGAAATATTGAAAATTTAGAGGAATTTGAATAAGATAAATAAAATCAAGATGGCTGCAACATCAACAGTGAAAGCGAATAGAGAGCTTCAGATGGTAAGATTCTTAATTTGGGGGTTCAGGGTGGGAGGGGTTGGGTGGGTGACATATTATGAGTCATATGATATATGCTTTATAACTTATAACACTGACTGTTATTCACACAAAATGTGTATGCACAAATAAGAGACCCTAATGAATTCTCAGTGGACATCCATTGTATTGGAAGTATATATGTACCTTTGGTCAGTAATAATTGTTTAAGGAAGATTTTTTTATTTGAAGATTTTTCTCAAGTTGCTGTGTAAGATCATCATTAACTGTAAATTAAGAATGAAAGTGTTCATGACTAATGATTCTTGGGGATAGATACATATTACATTCTTTGGGGAAAATACATATTTGGAGATGATATCAGTGAATGACCGAAAATAAATTTTTATTTAATCAATTGTCTGAATGTTAATTTCTGAGGCAAAGGCTCTATAACCATGCAGTTGTTACTGGAGCACCTAGATGTAATACACCATGAAAAAGCAAATTTAAAACTTTAATTCATGCTTTGTACTGTTTTTAATTTTTTTTTTTTACAGAAATTGTAATCAAATTAATTAGGTATACAGACTTTTGTATGACCGGAGTGTGGGAATGACTCTGTTTACATATCAGATAAAGACAGCATTTACATTGGGATTCATGCCTGAATTCAGATATTCCCTTTAACTGTTTGTGACTTTATATTTAATATGCTCTTGTTTTTGAAAGCATCTGTCAGAAAAGATCTCCCAATTCATTTAAGTTGGGATCTAATCTCAGATAATCTGGACAAAAAACTGAAGATTACCAGTTTTATTACATAACAAAATTGTTTTTTTTAAATGTCTGTGTGTATAGTAGAACAATGTTTACATGTATTCCTGAGAAACAAAATAGACCTATTGATTAACAGTTACAAAGTAAGTGCTGTAAAGTACAATGCTGTTTGTGAGAAAAAAATCAACTCTATAAATATCTACTATTCATATATCCCCAGTGGTGGATCCACTTGAAAGGGGGGACCCAGCAGGTAGGGGGTGCCTTAAGGCTCCCAGTGGGTCCAGGGCAATGCCTTTGGCGGGGTCCTAAAGGACGACCCACTGGAAGCTCCCAGGTTTTGAGTCTTTTTGAAATGGTTTTGTAAATTATTTTAGCTATGTTTTGATAATGTATATAAAGCAATATCTAACAACAAAAAAGAATTTATTCCTCTTTACTAAATTTTGAGTCACAAAGGGGAAAGGAATGGACCCCCAGTCTAAATCCACCAGTCATCCCATAAGATCCTGTTAGTGTAATAAAACTACAAAGTACATGTACCACACCTAACCATATCTTGCCTTCAACATTTTATGAAGATATATAATGGAAAGCGAGTTGAACATCTGTGAATATTAACTACTTTTCATGAATTCTCGTGATACACTAAGTTGGTCCTTATCAAAATTGTATCAAATTGATGTTTTCACTATTTACTGTAAAATTCTAAGATTCAGATATGATGACCCAGACTTCTTCCAGACACTGATGGTAATTGAAATACAGTGCTGTTATATGTAAATGAACTAAGGTTGTAGAAATTGTTTTGAAATAAAGAAGATTCCACTTCCTGATCTACAAATTACACAAAAGCAATGGTAGCTAGAATATATATATTTTTGATTCCTTATGTTCATTATGTAAGACAGACCATTTATACATATATATTATTATAACAGTAACTTGATCTGAAGAGCTGTGTCATGTTTCGTTGACAGGCGCGGATCATCAGATCAAATGAGACGCAAAGCTTTGAGTGTGATCTGATGATCCGCGCCTGTCAACGAACGTGATATGGCTCTTCGGATCAAGTTACTGTTATATTAAATGATAAATTTATTATATACCCCTTTACAAGTTCTAGCAAAATATAATAAAAGGAAACTTTTTGGATCAATTACATGACTTTTTATCCATCAAACAAACCACTTTGTCAAGGAATGTTTTGATGCGCGAGAATGAAAAACGTCATTTATCTGTGCATGTACTACATCATCATTTCAGAGAGGGGTGATATGGATTCAGAAAACAGCACTGAATGTGGTGATCTGGAATGTCGGATCACACCGTCACGTGATTACATAAATTCAACAGTAAAACTGAGTGATAAACAGTCGGGTATATAATAAATAACAAGGACATGGCAAAAATGTTCTATTTCTATTATTTTGGGCAACTATACATGGAAATTCAATGTCCTAATTCCTTTAAAATTAGAATTTATCAAAATTCAAAGAAATTTAAGTAACACGAGGTTTGATTGTTAACAACTTTGACATATGACTTGAGTGGTTATATATGTACACACAATTTAAGGTATCACAAATTTGTTGTCTAAAGGTCTCTGATATATGTTCTTATCCAAATCTGCATTGTCCATCCAGATCTCAGTTCAACAAATTTTGTCACTCATAAGGCTTTATTTGAAGATAGGCTACATTGTAATTCTTAAAGATTGAAGTATTGACTTCTATACAGAATGTACATAGCCATTCTAACACACTAATCCCAGGAATACAGGGTTCTCGCTAGGATTTTGCTAACTTGAGTCCCAGGACTCAAGATTTCTGAGAAGGTTGCGTCCCAGCTAAATTTGATGCGTCCCAGAAAAATTATGTTGAGTCCCAACTATAAATTAATGCAGTATCCTTCCATCCAAACATCAATAAAAATCTTTATCATTTTATCAGTTTGTTTTAACGCAATATTAAACATATTCAAGTATATAAACTGGTAATGCATTCAAGCCATATTCTAAAATACACGCGTAATCAATTGCCATAAAAATAACTTGGTGTTTATAAAGCTAAAATTAACTGTTGCATAATCAAGTAGTACCCAAAAGTTGACTGTATACAATCACAGGTGTCATGTGCAATGAGGCGTAACTAATCCTGTCGGTCGTCTGCACTGGGTGAAATTCACGAGATAATCAAGCCGTATTGTGTATACAAGCAGTAATTATGGTTTCTACATGTAGATAACACTCAAGATTCAAAAGTGTTTTTTTTTAAAAAAGCTGCAGTGTGTTTACAGCTGTCGGAGTTTTGCATGTGACACTATTATGACTATGGACTAATAAACATGAAATATCTTGTGATCAATCCCTGTTTAAAAAAAAGAGAAATTAGTACAAGAAAAGTTGTTCCTTGTATAAACTTTATGATAGTTACAGGAAGGTTTCGATTAAATATTTCTTTGACAAATCCTAACATCTAAATTCCCCGTTTTCGAAATCACCCGAATTTTCTCGCTAACGAGGACGCGTCCGATCATGAGTCCGCGGACGCATCGTTTTTAAGAACCTTGCGTCCCAAGTAATTTCGCTGCGTCTAGGACGCAGATTCTTGCGTTAATGAGAACCCTGGAATATCGTGAGGCTCATACACCTTAATTCAACACACAAACTGTCCTTCTGTAAAAACCATTCTGGCCCAGATAAAAAAAAAGGACTGGCATTCTGCAAGTGACAGAGCAGCAGGGAGATTTTTTTCGTATGTTAAAGTATTGATTGTCATTGTTAAACTGTCAATATTGAAAAGTCTGAAATATTGAGAATAGGGGAAAAAATGGCTTACATGTGTACACAAAATCAGTGACAGATCAGCGGGATTTTTATTGGCCTAATCAAAACTAATCATTGATTATTGATAGAAATCTTAACTGATTGATAAACTTTAATATACTATGTTGACATTAAAATTTTTATTTTATGTACTAATTTGAATTGAGTGAAAATATATGACAGTTTAATCTGCATTACACAAGTGTTTATTATATAAGAGCACCTAAATTAAAATTGTTAGATGTTAAAATATTCAGAACTTAATTCTAAGAATAATTATATTTGTTAAGTTTTCAGATATATTGTACATATATATAAATCACCCCTTATGTCCTTGTCAAAGAATTTTTATTTATTTTTTCAAGTTTTACAAGTTTCATATCTGTTTATGAACTGCATGAACAGAATTTGCTTTATTTGTTTTGTATATAGCGTTAAAAAAGAAAAACCCAAGGCCATGTGAAATTTCAATAGGGTTTGTAAAGGTATTCATGGTTTGACAAAAAATTGCATTGTATTTTGCCAGAGTTTTAGTTTACTCTACTTAGCCGGCGAAAAACTTCAAAGAGCAGAACTGAAATTGCTTCCATATACATGTATATGTCAATACTTGTTCAATCGACAATACCCGCGCCAGTTGTATATTTCAGAAGCACATTTAAATATAAGAGAGAGAAAAAATGAGTAAATTATATGAAAATGGCAACAAAACAAAGGCATTTGTGTTGAAAATTTGAAATTCACATATGCACTGCATCTGAAAATAAAGGTATAAGTCCTTAATATAATTTATGTGTTTGGTATACATGCATTTCATAATGGAAAAAGTAAATGCCAATGTATTGAAACATTTCAGATGTTTTGGTATAGAAATGTCCTAATATTTCCCAGTGTAACGAAAATTACATGATGTGATGAGTTGCTATACTCATAATAAAGAATACTGCGGTTTTATAGTTATTTTATTGAACAATATATTTCTGTTTTTTTCATTGTTGAGCCAGACCATTTGACAAATTTAGATGATAAACAAAATACAGATTTTACTAACAATAGGATGAGGTAGCTGTTCAAGAATTTACAAACCAACAAAATAGTAACTTTTGTCAAAAACATGAAATTTGACCACCTCAAAAATTAAATGAATTAAATCTCAAAATGAATCATTTTTGCGCAAAGTAACACAGCTTGGAAATTTTCCTGTTTACTTAATACACGTTTTTTCCTTCCAGCAAAAGCTGAAGGAGGAGAGGGAAGCAAAGCGAGCCCACCTAGATGAGCGCCACTTCTACATCCTACAGACTGTGGCGGACAGCCTCGGTCTGGAACTCTCAGAGGTGGAGGATGCCATATTGGAGGGAAATCAGGTGTGTAAAGGAATAATTAGAAGGGGGAGGGGGGATAGTGTCCTCAGAGATTAGCTGGAAGAGTTGTTCAGTGGAGGACCAGAAATCAGGTGCATAAAGGAATAACTAGAGGGGGGATAGTGTCCTCAAAGATAAACTGGAAGTGTTGTTCAGTGGAGGACCAGAAATCAGGTGTGTAAAGGAATAACTAGAGGGGGAGGGGGTAATGTCCTCTCAAAGATGAACTGGAAGTGTTGTTCAGTGGAGGACCAGAAATCAGGTGCATAAAGGAATAACTAGAGGGGGAGGGGGTAGTGTCCTCTCAAAGATAAACTGGAAGTGTTGTTCAATGGAGGACCAGAAATCAGATGCATAAAGGAATAACTAGAGGGGGAGGGGGTAGTGTCCACTCAAAGATGAACTGGGAGAGTTGTTCAGTGGAGGACCAGAAATCAGGTGTGTAAAGGAATAACTAGAGGGGGAGGGAGTAGTGCCCTCAAAGATAAACTGGAAGTGTTGTTCAGTGGAGGACCAGAAATCAGGTGTGTAAGGGAATAACTAGAGGGGGAGGGGGTTGTGTCCTCTCAAAGATGAACTGGAAGAGTTGTTCAGTGGAGGACCAGAAATCAGGTGTGTAAAGGAATAACTAGAGGGGGGGGGGGAGGGGGTAGTGTCCTCTCAAAGATAAACTGGAAGAGTTGTTCACTGGAGGTCTAGAAATCAGGTGTGTAAAGGAATAACTAGAAGGGGGGGGGGGGGGGGTAGTGTCCTCAAAGATAATCTGGAAGAGTTGTTCAGTGGAGGATAATGTGTAAGATCATCAGTTAGGACTGTGCTGCATAATCCAGACAGAGTATGTATAAATGCAGTCACTGGGCCATCTGGCCACCAAAATGTATAGGAATCGTGACAGTTTATATAGTAAAGAAGTGCTCATTTGAAATGTTAAAGAATCTCAGTTGAAGTGAATAACACCTTTATAATACATTAATTTTTAGATGTAACAGTTATAGGCTATTACTTCCTACCTAGTATCTTAGAATTTGTGTGTAACAATGTCATTGGCTAACAAATGCCCAGTTTTGCCACCACCATTCTGATCTGTTTCCCTTTGGTTGTAGATTGAAATGATGGACCAGTTTCTGAGTCCAAACAGTGTGAGCCAGCTTTTATTTTACTACCAGGAACCAGAGCATGTTGAACCAGGTATGGTGTCTCCATAGCGATAATAGTCTGCAGTGTGGCTAGTCAAAGTGTAGAAAACAAATGTATCAGAAAAATCTAGATGATCATTTAATGGATCTGATTGTTATGTCAGCCCTGTCTATCATGCAATATATTAGATGCTAGTAATCGACAATGAATTGATTGTATATCGCACAGTGAAATAAAAACTATTATTAGTTACGGTAAATGATACTGCACCATTAGGTTGGTGGAAGTTCTGGTTGCGTTTTGATTTTTGCAGCAATTTTCTTGTTTTGACTCGAAATTCCACACATATTTTTTTTTTATTCCTTCCAGTGCACGCAGGAATATACATTCCTTTATCAAACCGAAGACGAGAATCAAATATGTGTACGACTCAGTCGAGTATTTTTTTGTGAATTATCACACTAAAAAATCAATAATGTTTGAAATGTCTTTTCACTGTTAGCGTTTGTGAAAAAAATATTGATTTTATACTAATTCATGATTTCTATGACCAAGCAATTTTTCTCCCTTTTAATTTCTGTGCAAATTTATGTAATAAAGGACTACTTTGGTTTTCTAAGCAGCGTGCAGAGTGAAATTTGTATGCACTTCGGTGATGGGATTGAAGCTTTGGGATTGGGCAAGAGAATTTTCAAAACTTATTTCTCAGTTATTTTTTTTTCCACAGAATACCACGGTATTTTAATGTAGGTGATATTAAGAAATTTGAAGCATTTTAAATAAATTTTAATTTTAAACTACTGTTAGGTCGAGTTGACATGGAGAGGCGCATACTAAGATACCAGGGTTTGTGTTGTGGGGTTTACTATGTAAAGATTACCATGGTTACCACATATAATTTCTCTAGCTTTAACCAAACATTTGACCTTCTGACATTTCAGTGGCTGTTGGATTTCATATTCCCCAAACTGCCGAGTCAAGGAAAAAAGATCAGAACATTTGTATGGTTCTCTCAGTCTTATAAACCCTCTATTTTCTTGAGAGCTTTGATATGGACTTTTCAATTAGTCACCATTTATCATTGTGAAATTCCAATTTATGCCACCTTGATTGGCAATTTGTCAATTCTTTGGCCCTTTAATGTATAGGTGTAAAAGTAATTGGTATTTTTAGATATAAGTGAACAAGAGGCTTTTGAGGCTAAGTGTAACCTGTGTGAAGTCCATATCAGGGCCCTTTTTTTCTCTTAAGTATAGTCAGAGTATAGAGAACTTCTCAGTTATTATGTTTTTTTTTAATTAAAAAAATATCCACCACCGCTTAGATTGAAGCTTTCACTCTTACAGTATAAATTTATGTTATTGAGTAAAATGTATCAGTATACTTACTTACTTACTTGATATGAATATCAATATATTTCATTTTGAGTAATGTAATTAAATTTGCACAAGCTTCATCTTAAAGCTGCACACCTAACTTAATTATATATATCCTTAAATGATTTCATATTTAGAATCTCTCTTCATTTTCCACTAAATAATTTTTCTATTTATCTATTCATGAATGAACATTTTCAATATCTCTTGAAAATTTTCCCTGAATGACAATTAAATTTGTCATCTATATAGCCACAATAGCTTCTCTCACTTTTTTCATGCAAACATTTACCCAGAATTTTAAACTTTTGTACTTTTAATTGATTTTTAGATTGATTATTAGAATTTTTTTTTGGTCACATTAAGTGTTTTGCAATTTTCACTGTAATATAGCTAGCAGATATTATTGATGTATACTAGTTTTGCAATTTGGATTGAAAATGTAGTTTTTACTCTAGATGTGAAGTATGTTTTGACATGCACATTTATGTTGCAGCATAAACAGATATCCACATGGAATATACATATAGCAATAGAGTGCATTAACATATTATGCCATTATTTTTAACGTAGAACAATGCACGTGGCCTAATGAGTTCATGTATGTAAGAATATTATGTCAGTTAGAAAATAAGTATATCTAATCCTTCTGTTTGTGAATACATGTGTTATGAAACTCATTGTGGTATTGAGCCAAAATTATTATTTAAATGGAAAGTTTTAAATGGAAGCTAGGAAAAAATTGAAAAATTATATATTATCAGCATAATAACTCCTCCATACATTTATCATTACATAACTATAAATACCTGGAAATAAAAAAAATAAATCAGTAAAAAAAAAAAAAAATAAATGCTTAAAATTTATGATGCATTAATTTTATAATGAACCACAACTATTGTTCAAATTAAAAAAAATCTGAATGAAATATATCAGTAGTCTGTGAACTTATACAGTACTTTGATTTTAATAGTGGACCATCTGAGAGTGGGTCCCCCACAGCCTAAAGTCTCCAAAACCTCCAAACCAAAAGTATTTGTCACCAATGGACGTGACACCCCACTGAGAGGGGTAGCCCTGGTCTTCACAAAGGTGGCCGAAGCTGACGTCACCATTACAGATACCAATATTATGAAGGTAAGGTTACTGAAGAACAATTAAAGAACCTAAAATATACCACTATCATGAAGATAACTTTACAAATACCAATGTCATGAAGATAGGCTTCCAGATATCAATATCGTGATAGTAAGCTTACAGATGTATATGTACCAATGTCATTCATTCATTGGTAACTTTATGGATACCAATATCATCAAAGTAACATTATGGATACAAGTATCATGAAGTTATTACCTTATGGATACCAATATCATGAAGGTATTACCTTATGGATACCAATGTTATTAAAGTATACCAATATCATAAATAGAACCTCAAAAATACAAATACCATGAAAGTACAACCTTATGTCACCGGGTTCACAGGTGCATGAAAGTCAGTCAATATATCGGGTCTCAATAGCTCAGTGGTTAGAGCGCTGGCAAGGTATGCCAGAGGCCCTGGGTTCTAGTCCCGGTTGAGACTTGATTTTTACCACCTGTGACACTTATCATGGGTACCAATATCATGAAGGTATAACCTAATGAATACCAATATCATCAAGGTAACCTCATAGATACCAGTATCATATATATCATTTAGGTGTAGCGCTTCAGAAATTCTAGAATTTTTAACCTATTTTTTACCTTAGGTCCAATTTTAGTCAGGTTTTGACTCCAAATAATAAAGTATACAAAACCACTCACAATTTGTTAAATTTCCTGTTAAACCTCAAAGATATAGAAAATGAATTCAGAGAGCATGTACAAATGATTGTTTATGTAGATTTACATGTCGCTTATTTGTGTTGACAGGAAGTGACATTCACTCGCCTTGACACCAGTGGGAATGGAAAAAATGGCAGTGGACTTCTGCATGCTGTGGAGACTCTTCTGTCCTCCATTTTTATTCCTGCCCTGAAGAATCTGGACAAAGGATGGGGTGCCCTAGGTACACCCTCTGGTGAACAAGTCAGACAGGACTTCCTTAACACGCTCGACTCATTTGTCTCCGTCCTTGTTGGTGAGTACTTATACAGATTTTTGTTCATTTGATTGTTTGCATGTTTCATTACATGTACTGGTAAATGAATTGTGAATTTGTGTAGACTGACGAAGATTTTTCACCCTTCAAATATGATTTTATTGACTCTATGAATTTAGAAAGGTATTGATGGATAAAGACAATTCATACTTAGTTTTTTTGTGGTATGTTATATTGTTTCTTTGATTTTTTTTAAGGTGCACAAGAAAGTTTGGAAGAGAAGGTAACTCTTAAGCCATGTGAGACCTATGACCTTTCCAAGATCCAGACACCAGCCGACTATCAGGCAGTGGCCAACAGCTCTGAGGCCCTGGAGGGGATCGAGAACACTATGAACGTCTGGCTGAAGCAGCTTGAACAAGTCCTGGCTGAGAGTGAGCAGATGAGGAAGGAGGCAGACGATATAGGACCTCGAGCAGAGCTGGATCACTGGAAAAAACGCATGTCACGATTCAACTATCTCCTGGATCAGATCAAAGGGCCCGACGTTAAAGCTGTTCTGGGTGTTCTGCATGCCTCTCAATCAAAGCTTATCAAGGTAATTATATAGTATATATCTACTGCTCACACTTAATGCAATAAACATTAGATATAAAAGTAAATTTCATGAAGTATTTGATGAAAAGAAAATATATAGTTTGAACATTTATTATGTATATCTAGCACGTGAACTTGTCTGTTTTATTCTCTCCATATGTGTGAATTTATATGTTGCAGCAATGGCAGGAACATGACAGAAGAATAACTGATCTGGCCAATGAGGCCCGAGATAATGTTAAGTTCCTGTACACCCTAGAGAAATTCTGTGACCCCCTTTACAACAGTGACCCTGTAAGTTCACACCCCACACTATGGATTTCTTTTTTGTAAGAACTGTATTCTTTCTGGATAGGAAGTGCAAGACTTGGTTTTTAGCTCTACTGGTCAGAGACCAGAAGAGCTTATGCGATAGTAAGGTGTCCGTCGTCCGTCCATCTGTCTGTCTGTCTGTCCGTCTGTCCGTCTGTCTGTAAACAATTTTTCAAAACACTACTCCTCCTACAGTTTTGGTCCGATTTCAATATAACTTGGCACACAAGTAGACTACACTAAGATACATAATTTAGTGCATCGGTTTTGGATTTCGATGGACGGTGTTGCCATGGTTACTAAAAATAGAAATTTCTGTGAAATTCCTTTAAAACGCTACTCCTCCTACAGTTTTGGTCCTATTTCAATATAACTTACCACACAAGTAGACTACACTAAGATACATAATTTAGTGCATCGGTTTTGGATTTCGATGGACGGTGTTGCCATGGTTACTAAAAATAGAAATTTCTGTGAAATTCCTTTAAAACGCTACTCCTCCTACAGTTTTGGTCTGATTTCAATATAACTTGGCACACAAGTAGACTACACTAAGATACATAATTTAGTGCATCGGTTTTGGATTTCGATGGACGGTGTTGCCATGGTTACTAAAAATAGAAATTTCTGTGAAATTCCTTTAAAACGCTACTCCTCCTACAGTTTTGGTCCAATTTCAATATAATTTGGCACACAAGTAGACTACACTAATATACATAATTTATTGCATCGGTTTTTGAATTCAATGGACGGTGTTGCCATGGTTACTAAAAATAGAAATTTCTGTGAAATTCCTTTAAAACACTACTCCTGCTACAGTTTTAGTCTGCTTCTAATATAATTAGGCATACAAGAAGACTATACTAAGATACATAATTTATTGCATTGGTTTTTGAATTCGATGAACAGTGTTGCCATGGTTACTTAAAATAGAAATTTCTTTGAAATTCCTTTAAAACGTTACTCCTCCTACAATTTTGGTCTGATTTCAATCTAATTTGGCACACAGTTAGAATACACTAAGATACATAATATGTATTTTTTTTTTTATTTGGGGGAATGGTGTTGTCATGGTTACTAAAAATAGAAATTTCCGTGAAATACTTTCAAAACGCTACTACTCCTAGTTTTCATTTGATTTCAATATAGCTTGTCACAAAAGTAGACTACATTAAGATACATAATTCTATTTATTGTTGCATGTTGCAATGTTTCAAATCCAAGTGCTACTTTTCTTTTGTTATACAAACAGACCAGTAGAGCTACGGTCTCATCAGAGACTTCTGGTACATTATAGGTTGGTATGTTGGAAGGCATCCCTGGTCTGATCAATGCTATCAGAATGATCCATTCCATCTCCAGGTATTACAACACTTCAGAGAGGATGACATCTTTGTTTGTCAAGGTAAGAAACCATAATTTTTACCATATTACACTCTGAATTTTGACTTGCTTTGTTTTGAAGTAATAGTTCTTATTGAAAATGTGAAAAATAATTATGAGATTGAAACCTAAATGATTTTTTTTTTGCCACAGATTACCAATCAGATGATCACAGCCTGTAAGTCATACATCAGCTGTCAGAAGACAGAAACTGTCTGGACCCAGAATCAAGCAGACGTTGTCCGTAAACTCAACGACTGCATCAAGCTGAATGAAGAGTACCAGCGGTGTTTCCATAAGACCAAGGAAAAGCTGGAGAAGATGCCTAATGAGAGGCCATTTGAATTCTCCGAGATGTACATCTTTGGAAAGTTTGACACCTTCACCAGGAGGCTAAAGAAAATCATTGAAATGTTTGAGACCATCTCCATGTACTCCCACTTATCTGAGTCCAAAATTGAAGGTATGTTGTTAACTGGTATTAGCCACTTTTCTGTATTGAGTGTATTGCATTGCATTCCATATCTGTCATCCATTGCTTTCAGTATTATTCATTGATATTTAAGCAGAAAATAATGCAGACTTTGAATTTCTGTATTTTTTCAGGAATTGAGCAGTCTGCAACAAGATTTAATGTCATTGTGACAAACATGAAGAAGAAACCGTACGATTTCTTGGATCAAAGGAAGCAAGAGTTTGAGGTGGATTTTGATGAATTCAAGAGGATGGTGGCTGAACTTCATGTAAGTGTCAAATAACTTCTACTGATCAGATAGAAATAAGATACAGGTTTCATCATTTTTATCAGTTGTTTCAGCTGTTGTTGAGTAGAATGTTTAATATTTCAGCAAAACATCCAGTTGTTTATGGACCAGAAGTTTGAGAGAATCGTTAGCACCACCAGAGCTCTGGTTCTGCTCCAGAGGTTTGAGAAGCTGAATTTACCAGGTCTGGGTATCTATGATAAGTACCAGAGAATTCTCAGTCACTATGGGAAGGACATTGAAAATGTGTCCAAACTGTACCAGAAAAACAAGAATGACCCACCAGTGGCTAGAGATTTGCCTCCTATTGCTGGTTAGTAAAGCTGAGTTTATGACAAGTTGCTGTAAGAGGTTGTTCTTTAGCATCATCCTTAAAATATGGTCTTCTTTCAGAAACATAAAAAATGATGATTTTTGAAGAAAATTGAGAAAAGATTAATATTCTTTCTCAAGTTGTCACTGTTTCTGGTATTCTGAATATGTCATGAACAGGGTAATATATTTTTTTTCAACTTTACTAAACAGGAAAAATAGCTTGGGCCAGACAACTGTACCGCCGAATTCAAGATCCCATGGAGGTTTTCAAACAGCAGGGGAAATTACTGGAGATCCCAGAGGCTAAGAAGATCATCAAGAATTTCAACAAACTGGCAAAAGTTCTGCTGGAGTTTGAGATGTTGTACCATAGAGGATGGCTTAGACAGGTATGAAGCATCAAACTGTCTTAACAGACCTACTTTTTGCGCATCACATTTTATGTGTTATTGATAAGAAAACATTCACATTTGAAGTTTTTCTTCTTATTGCTGAAATTTTCATGTGCAATATTTTTCTTCTTGCAGATGGAGGCTGCTAGATCTGGTCTGCAGGCTTCACTCCTGATCAAACACCCAGAGACTGGAGAACTGTTTGTGAACTTTGACGCTCAGATCCTGACCATGGTGAGAGAGACTGAGTGCATGGCCAGGCTTGGACTGGAGATTCCCCCACTAGCTGTCACAATGAGAGCCAAACAGACAGAATACAAAGACAACTACAATGCACTCCAGGTAGCTGTCTCAATATCTGAACTCTGTAAACTTGAGTTTTGGTCAGCTTTTTGCTAGTGTCACATATGGCATGTTATTTCAAATAATCATGGACTAACCATTTAAATTGGTAGATGCTGCTGCAAGAGAACAAGAGAGTAAGAAGCAAGATCCCAACAGCATTTGAGAGCTTGATGGGTCCACACATCAGCAAAGTAGACAAGAGATTGGAGCCTGGCCTTAACAAGTTGTCCTGGACTTCCCTCAACATACAGGACTACATACAGGAAGTGTACAGTGTGTTGGGTGAGCTGGAACTGCTGATGGATCGTGCCCACGATTTGATGGAGTTCAGAATCGATGCTGTTCTGAAGGAGATGTCCACCACTAAGCTGTGCCAGCTACCAGAGGTTGAACCTTGGCTGTGTGATGCTTTCCTGGAAAACACCCAGGTACACAAATAAGAGTGTACCATATCATTGAAAATCAACTTTATTGAGAATGAAGGGGAAAATAAGTTCTTTTTCAGTATATTAAACCTTTTATGAAGCATTGCAAGAAGAGCAGAATAAGTGAATGAAGGGAAATAACTCTGTTTAACAGCAGTTTTTTGTATTGTAGATGCTGTGTGCAAAAGGAGCAGTCGCGCTACAGACGAAGTCTCTGGTGGTGGAGGAAGCAGCCAATGAACTGATCAACATGTTGTGTCCCGCTGATATGGAGGAGGAGGAGGAAAAGATAGGGATGGAGGAAGATGAAGGTAAAAATAAAACCAAACTCATAATAACAAATATCAGTCTCTTTACATCTATATAAAATATATTCTTAAAGTAAATGGTAAAATTATGTTTTAAAAAAATTGAACCAGTAGTATGTTAAAAACACCAGCCTAGTGGTACCTTAATAAGTACAACTCTTAGATTTCATAGAGTACTTATAAATTTTGTGATTGTCAATTTAGATGAACAACGAAGCCAGGCTGGTAGCCCCACTGGTTCTCAGGGTGCTAGGACCAGCAGCAGGAAATCACGACCGGTGTCCTCAAAAGCTAACCTTGTAGCCAAGAAGAAACGAGAAATGAAAGAGAACATCGAAGAAGCAGCTAATGAGCTGTTGGCTCACTTCAACCACAGGAACCAGGATGCTCTTATGAAGGTCACTAAGAACACTCTGGAATCTCTACGGAAACGAATCACTTCCAGCTCCATGGTCCATTACCTTGGTAAGGATTTTAGGTTTATTTTTTTAAATCCCAAATTTCTGCCGAAATATGGCTGAAATATTGCTGACTCGGTGTTAAACAATCAATCAATCAATTAAATCCCAAATTTTTCTCAGATTGCTGACACTGTTTGTTGATGTTTAAGCTTTTGAGTACTTTATATTCTAAAATAATGTATGCTGAAACAATTGTAGGAGATTCTGGAAGCTTTGGTGATGCTAAGAAAGACAGTGGCCCCTTCTTTAAGACTTTTGCTACACTGGCCATTCCAAACATTGTCATGCAGCCTGCTTTGGATGAAGTTCAACAGACCGTGAACAAAGCTGCTCAGATGATTATTTCAGTCAGCAAAGGTGTGGCTAAATGGAGCGAGGAAAGAAAAAGACCCCAGAAATCTGCAGCAGAACGTGAGCATGCTGTAGCTGCTGAGCGTAGACAGAGTGTAGTCAGCGCTGCCTCTGATGCTGCAGGAGAGAAGAAAGAAGAAGAGGCAGAAGTGAAGAACTACACCATTACCCAGCAGGCCAAGAACTACTTCAAAGCTGTATCTGAGAACAAAGAGGTCACGAAACTGGTGTCTCTTTTGTCCACCTCCATCAACTCCACAAAGAAGGTAAGCGGGTAAAAAAAAAAGAAACGAATGGTTGAGGGTGTCCTTCTGCAAAGAGAGATAACTCGTAAATGAGTACAGCTCTATGTTTTTCTTTTACAAAAATTTTCATCTTCCACTTTCGTGATTTTGCTTCAAATTTTACATCAGTATGGCATACAAAATTTGCTTGAATTTCATGTTATATTTTCATTTTCCATTTCAAGCAGTTTTATTAATATTGGTTGACATTTTTACAGGAGGTGACTACTGCCTTGGACAGATTTGCTGGATATCATCCAATCTGGGAGAAGGACAGGGATGAGGACTTGGAGGAGTTCAACAAAGAGGACCCCAAACTGTCAGAATACGAGGCCAAAATCAAACACTACGAGGAGCTGGAGGTGGAGATCAATGGACTGCCAGAGTTCTATGATGTTGGACCTATTGCCTTGTACACAGGTAGGATGGAAAAATTTACAGTTGTGGTATGGTAGGGTTTATAAGTAAAACGTTGGCATACATTAGTAAGTTCGCTAAAATAAAATGAACAGGAAAACTGGTTGTGAGACCTAAAAATTTCCATGTAAATGCAGTTTTCCAAGCTTCTCTGATTTTCTTCATGAATTCATCATTTTGCATACAGTCATCACGTTTGCAAAAGGATTGCAAGAAAATAATCAAGCATCCATTTTCTTTTTTTTAAAATAGAAAACCTGAAGCTTGGTTTGACCACAGAGACCAGAGCCTGGAAGCTCCATTATGGTAAGGCCTGTAATCAGAAATACAGCATGGAGATGGAGAGAATCTTCACCTTTATTGAGGACCTCACCAAACGTCTGGCACGTCCCCTCAAGGACCTCGATGACATCAGGTTTGCCATGGCAGCCCTCAAAGAGATTCGTGATGATGAAATCAGGATAGACATGTTGATTGGTCCAATTGAGGTCAGCTTAATCATAAATAAATCTGATTTATGAACATTAAGATATGTCTGGATTGGTCATCTGTCTATAGAATAAAAAAAGAAAATGTATCGTGGTAAAAAGGAAACAATATTCTCTACATCTTCCCATTTACAAATGCATTTAACATAGCTGTGTCTAGGTTTCTTTTATTTTAATAGTTTTAGCTTACTTAAATTCTGTTATTTTAGGAATCTTATGCCATGTTGATCAAACATGACCTGCCAGTAAACAAGGAGGAGACAGAGAGATGTGACACACTGCGTTACTCCTGGGAGAAACTTCAGGTCCAGACTTCAGAAGTTCAGACAGAACTTCTACAAGTACAGCCCCAGTTCAAGGAGGAACTCATCGAAAATGTCAAGATCTTCAATACTGACTGCAAGAACTTCTATGAGAGTTACGATACAGTAAGGAAAAGTTTCATTTGGAATCATTTCAAGATGAAATTTTGTAAATGGATAATTTCAACATAAGGATATCTTATATAGAAAAAAAAAGTTTCTGCATCTTGAGTTTATTGAATACTGTATTGAAAGCTTTTGCAATGAAGGTTGGGCTTGTAAAACACCTTTTTACAGTATTTTGTGGCTTGTAACATTGTTCTCGGATATTAATCATCATTTTAACATTACAGCAAGGACCAATGGTGGCAGGTGTACCCCCTCGCGAGGCCTCTGACAGACTGGTCATCTACCAGAACAACTTTGACGTCCTCTACAAGAAGTTTGTCACCTACACAGGTGGGGAGGAACTGTTTGGCTTGCCTGTGTCAGATTACCCCAAGCTCGGACAGATTAAAAAGGAGCTCAATCTGCTTCAGAAACTGTACAACTTGTACAACAATGTTCTGGAAACTGTGCATGGATATTATGATATACTGTGGACTGACATTAATATTGAGAAAATTAACAATGAACTTTTGGAATTTCAAAACAAGTAAGGCTTTTGAATGGAGAACAAATTATTTTTAGCAAAATGAGCATAGAAATTATGAATATTTTGAGTATATATCAGAGGATTATTTTGATCAATGAAGAAAAATTTATATTTTTGCCCCCCCCCCCAATTTATAATCAATTATTGAACATCTAAATATAGATCATATGCTCTTTCACAGATGTAGAAAACTCCCCCGTGCCTTGAAAGACTGGCCTGCCTTTGAAGATCTGAAGAAAACAATCGACAATTTCAACGAAATGGTGCCTCTGCTGGAGTTGATGACTAACAAAGCCATGAAGCCTCGCCATTGGAACAGAATGGCAGAGGTCACAGGTCATGTGTTTGATGTTGAAAGTGATAACTTTGCTCTGAAGAACATTCTGGAAGCTCCACTGCTTCAGTTCAAGGAAGATATTGAGGTTTGTATTTATCTAAATTTCATATAATTTTCAAATAATTTGGCAAAAAAGTTAGGACAGTTTGTAGAGAAGGGTTAGACAACTCTATTGAAATTGCCTTCTTTTCCAGGATATCTGTATCTCAGCTGTGAAGGAGAAGGACATTGAAGCCAAACTGAAGCAGGTCATTGCAGACTGGAACAATAAGGAATTCACCTTTGGTCAGTTCAAAAACAGAGGAGAGCTCCTACTCAGGGGAGATAATACATCAGAAATTGTATCCCTTATGGAAGACTCGCTCATGGTTCTCAGCTCATTGCTCAGCAACAGGTATTAAAAGACCTCAACATCGAAAGTCATAGTAGAGCAAAAAACTGAAAAAAAATTAATTTTCCTGAAAATTTGTAATTATAATAATCTTTTGTCAGTGAAGTGTTCAATAACAATGGTAACACAAACTGAAAATAACTTCATTTTTGCAAGTAGTACTATACGTCAAATAGATATTATCTATTTGACATATAGTATAAAGTTGACTATTATGTCTACTTTAGGAAAATAAGACAGGTATTATCCACAGTATTGACTGTTGGTTGTTTTGTGTAGGTATAATGCTCCCTTTAAGAAGAATATCCAGTTGTGGGTGCAGAACCTGACCAATTCCTCAGAAATCATTGAGAACTGGATGACTGTCCAGAACCTGTGGGTGTACCTTGAAGCTGTATTTGTTGGTGGAGATATTGCCAAACAACTGCCAAAGGTAGAATTTTACTCCTTGTTGGTTATGTCCAGAGAGACACAGAATCCATGAAGAGTTCATGTTAAATGATATTTTCTACTTTCTTGACTTGAATAGGAAGCCAAACGATTCAGCAACATTGACAAGTCCTGGATTAAGATAATGACCCGAGCTCATGAGACTCCTAATGTTGTCCAGTGCTGTGTGGGAGATGAGACCTTAATGCAGCTGTTGCCTCATCTTCTGGAACAACTCGAGCTCTGTCAAAAGTCTCTCACTGGGTAAGACTCAATGCCTTGTGGGAAATAACTGGGAACAAAGAATTATTTCCATGTGTATGAAGAAGTGGTAGTTTGGTTTTTGGGTATTCAAGTAAAAATTTTTATGAAATTAATTTATTCTTTATCTGACAGATACCTGGAGAAGAAGCGTTTGTTATTCCCTCGATTCTTCTTTGTGTCTGACCCGGCTCTGCTTGAGATTCTGGGACAGGCCAGTGACCCACATACTATCCAGGCACACTTACTATCCGTGTTTGACAACACCAAAACAGTCAAGTTTCATGAAAAATTCTACGACCAGATTCTGGCCATTTATTCTTCAGAAAATGAAACCATTGATGTAAGCTTCTCACAATGTAGTTTTTTGTTTTTTTTTTTAATTTTTACTCACTTAAAATGAATTATTTGAAGACAATAATCAAGGTTCAAATTTTTTTTAGGTTGGAAATATTTAATTGTATAAGACAGGGTACTCTTTTTAATGATCAGGAAACTAAGTATTAATTTTGTGTAGATTTTAATTTTTCAATTGACCTTTTACAGCTTGAGAAGCCAGTAAAGGCGGAGGGTAACGTAGAGAGCTGGTTGATGTCCCTGATGTTGATGGCTCAGAAATCTCTCCATGGTGTCATCCGTACAGCTGCCATGTCCATTCAGGACAGCAGCTTCCAGCTTCTGGAGTTCTTAAACATGTTCCCTGCTCAGGTATATCTCTTTTCAAATTTTTTTTTCCCTTAAAACAAAATAAGGAAAAGAAATTCTGAATTCACTGCCATAATTTTTCTCTTGGGAAATAATGATTACAAATATTTCACAATTTTTTTTACCTGTGTTAAGAAAAAAAGGAATTTTAAAGGAAATTTCTCTTTAATCTTTTGTCTTGATTTTAGGTTGGAATTCTGGGAATCCAGATGATCTGGACTCGTGATGCCACGGAGGCCTTAACCCATGCCCGTTATGACAGGAAGATCATGCAGCAGACGAATCAGGCCTTCCTGGATCTACTGAACATCCTCATCAACCAGACAACACAGGAACTCAGTAAAGTGGAGAGGACCAAGTTTGAAACTCTCATCACCATCCATGTCCACCAGAAGGACATCTTTGATGACTTGGTATGTATTAATGAGTTGATCTCAGAATTTGATTTGGAAAAATTCATTTTTACATTCTTTACATATTTACAATTTTGAATATCACTTTTTAAATGAATTTGCATAAATTTTTACAACCTGTGAAACTCCCTACCTACCTATATAGGTACATACAGTACACTTGTACTAAAAGCAGACAGGAATCTGATATTTATCTATTTTATTTATGTTTTAGTGCCGCAATCATGTGAAGTCCCCCACAGACTTTGAATGGATGAAGCAGTCCAGATTCTACTTCCTGGAAGACCAAGACAAATGCCTGATTTCTGTAACAGATGTGGACTTTATTTATCAGAATGAGTTCTTAGGCTGTACTGAACGTCTAGTCATCACGCCTCTCACTGACAGGTAGCCCCTCAAATACAAAGAGAGATTTGTATTCTCATTTATATTATTTAACTTATTCAAAGTATTACTTAGTAGCAGTGAAATGATAGAATGATTTCATTTTCTCTGCTTCATTAACATAACTTGTCTTGCAGATGTTACATTACTCTGGCCCAGGCCTTGGGAATGTCAATGGGCGGCGCCCCTGCAGGTCCTGCAGGAACAGGAAAAACAGAGACCACCAAAGACATGGGCCGTTGTCTTGGTAAATATGTCGTCGTCTTCAACTGCTCCGATCAGATGGACTTCCGAGGTCTGGGTCGTATCTATAAAGGTCTGGCCCAGTCTGGATCCTGGGGATGCTTTGATGAGTTCAATCGTATTGACCTACCTGTGCTTTCTGTGGCTGCTCAGCAGATTGCTATTGTGTTGACAGCAAAGAAAGAGAGGAAGAAGAACTTTATCTTCACTGATGGTGACAATGTGTCTCTCAGTCCTGAATTTGGAATTTTCTTGACAATGGTACATCTTTCATTTTTTCAATCTTGACAAAAAAATCTTTTATGTATGTACATGTATTTGCCATTTAGAATGTTAATATTAATTTTATGAAAATTCTTTTGCAGAACCCTGGTTATGCCGGTCGTCAGGAGTTGCCAGAAAATTTGAAGATTAATTTCCGTACAGTAGCCATGATGGTTCCCGACAGACAGATCATCATCCGTGTCAAACTTGCCTCAGTCGGTTTCCTTGATAACATCACACTGGCCAGAAAGTTTTACACTTTATACAAACTCTGTGAGGAACAGCTTACCAAACAAGTGCACTATGACTTTGGTTTGAGAAACATCTTGTCCTGTTTGAGGACATTGGGTACTGTGAAGAGACAAAACAAAGATGACCCTGAAGCCATGAGTGTAATGAGAGTATTGAGAGACATGAACCTCTCTAAGCTTGTGGATCAAGATGAACCTCTCTTCTTGTCCCTGATCAATGACTTGTTCCCAGGAATTACACTGGACAAGGGAGGCTACCCAGATCTAGAGGGCGCTATTGCTCGCCAGATTGAGGATGCCAAATTGGTTGCTCATCCTCCATGGACACTCAAACTCATTCAGGTGAGTCAACAACAAAATATACTAGTAATTCTCACAAAATTAAAGCAACTGAATTAATTATCACAGTATACTCTCTCTACTTTATTTTAATTTACTGGGATTTATTCTGTTTGATTTCAAAGAAGATAAAAAGAAACTGTGCCATTATCAATAGAATTTTTATTGATGTCTACAGCTGTTTGAGACCCAGCGAGTAAGACATGGTATGATGACCCTGGGACCCAGTGGAGCAGGAAAAACCTGCTGTATCCATGTCCTGATGAAGGCCATGACAGACTGCGGAGAGCCCCACAAGGAGATGAGAATGAACCCCAAGGCCATAACAGCCCCTCAGATGTTTGGACGTCTTGATGTAGCCACCAATGACTGGACAGATGGTATCTTCTCTACCCTGTGGAGGAGAACTCTCAGAGCCAAAAAAGGTAAGCTCTGATTTAGGATTATAGTCTGATTGAAAATTCAATTCTTCAAAATGTTTATAACTTGTAATTAATACATTCATGTGACAAAGAGGTAAATTTGATTCTTTTATTATCCCTACAAATATAAATAATGGGAAAAAAGTAAGCATATTTTTTCCTGCATAATTTGATGTTTAGAAATGAAACCTTTATCCTTGTTTAAGGTGAGCACATCTGGTTGGTGTTGGATGGACCAGTAGATGCTATTTGGATTGAGAACTTGAACTCTGTACTGGATGACAATAAGACCTTGACCCTCGCTAATGGAGATCGTATCCCCATGGCTCCCAACTGTAAGATTATCTTTGAGCCCCACAACATTGATAATGCCTCCCCTGCCACTGTCTCTAGGAATGGTATGGTGTACATGTCCAGCTCAGGACTGGACTGGAAGCCCATTCTTCAGGTAATGACTGTAGTGGAAATTTCATTTGATAAATTGAAGCACATGTAGTTCAACTGTAATGGCATTAAATCTGTTGAACTGATATTTTTCAAGGTGAAAACTTAATATTCTTGTCATAGACAACTTTGTTTTGAAATTTGCATTTTGTATTCCAGTGCTGGTTGAATTCAAGACCAATCAATGAACAAGCCATCATTATGGATTTGTTTGAGAGATCTTTCCCCCTGTTGTTGCGCTATGCTGTACAAAATTTGACATTCAAAATGGAGGTCCTCGAAGCCTTTATCATCTCTCAGGCCTGCAAACTTCTGGAAGGACTGATTCCCTCAAAGGATGACAAGGATACTGGAAATGTGAGTCAATCTCACTATGAACATTTGTACATCTTCACTCTTATGTGGACCATTGGTGCTTTCTTGGAGTGGGATGATAGGATAAAGGTAGAGGAGTTCCTGAGGAACAATGATGAAATCACTCTGGATTTACCACCCACCAATAAGGAGGCTGATGAGACCATGTTTGATTACATGGTTGATACAAATGGTATGTGGATCATGTTTGGCTAAAGTAGAAAAAGCAATCACAAAGAATGCAACATATATATTTTGAAGTGCTATATATAGCACAGAAATGATGTTAGCGTGAAAACTTTGCTATGTCATTTTTTTCCTCTCAAAAACTTAATTATTGAACAATTATATAGATTTATCTTGACTCGAAAACAAGTAAAACTAATGTGAAGTAATTCTCGTTATATATTGTTTGAAGGATATGCAAAATGAATAATAATTTGCAATGCTATCATCATGAGAAAATTATCTTGGAGTATTTATAAATGAGTTACTATACCACTTGAGATAATTAATTTTAAATATTTTGGTTACAGGCTCATGGCAGCACTGGAGCACCAAAGTGGAGCCCTACCACTACCCCACCGACAGCACACCCGAGTATGGCTCTATTTTGGTCCCTATGGTTGACAATGTCCGTACAGAGTTCCTCATCAAGGCCATTGCTAAGCAAGAGAAGGCTGTCCTTCTGATTGGAGAGCAGGGTACAGCTAAGACCGTGATGATCAATGGTTACATGAACAAATATAACCCTGAGTACCATCTAGCTCAGTCCCTCAACTTCTCCTCTGCTACCACTCCTCTCATGTTCCAGGTCAGTGTCTAATGTTTCATATTTCATCTACAAAAACAAGAGAATTAGATTTTGAACATTTCTTTGAAGAGAAGGAGATGACCTTCAGTGAGGCAGTTCAAAAACATCTTTTTGTAATGCTCTGAAAATTTGCTTTGATAAACTGAACTGTTTTATAGTTTTTTAAAAAATACCTCATTTTGATCTTCACAGAGAACCGTTGAGAGTTATGTTGACAAAAGAGTGGGCAGCACATATGGACCTCCTGCTGGTAAGAAAATGACAGTTTTCATTGATGACATCAACATGCCGGTGATTAACGAGTGGGGAGATCAGATCGCTAATGAAATCGTGAGACAACTGATGGAATACAAAGGTTTCTACAATCTGGAGAAACCAGGAGACTTCACCAATATTGCAGATGTCCAGGTACAGTACAGTATATCTATATCTGATAAAGAGTGTCCCTCCCCATTTTCAGAGAGTAGTTAAACTGGGAAATTTTGGCTCCCTTACATTTTTTCCCCTTTTGCCCTCGTCTTCAGTGGGCAATTTGAAATTGGGCAGATTCAATGGAAAAATAGTTGTATCTCTTTAAGTGCAATTGTGTCTGGGAGAAAATAACACGGGGCAAAATTTACCCTGTATACAGTAAAACATGCTTATAATGAAGTGCCAGAGACAGATGATTTTGATTCATAATAAACGTAATTCGTTATATCCATTAGTATCACAATAAGTTTAAAGTCATGGGGAATGAAAATCACTTTGCTGTAAGTGTCAATGCATTATAAGCGAGTTAGCTATAAGTGTGTTTTACTGTATGTTATTTACAATTCAGTGAAGATTAATTCAATATGTTCGTAGGAAATGTTTAACTACTGACATGTGTAGTAACACCTTGTTTGATGTTACAGTTTCTAGCTGCTATGATCCAGCCTGGTGGAGGCCGTAATGATATCCCTCAGAGACTGAAGAGACAGTTTGTCATCATTAACTGCACTCTTCCCTCCAACCCATCCATTGACAAGATCTTCAGCTGTATTGGATGTGGCCATTACATCAAGGAGAGAGGATTCACGCAGGACGTCATCGACATGACAGCTAGACTGGTTCCCATTACAAGAAGACTCTGGCAGCTTACAAAGGTTGGTTTTGAGGAATGTGCTGCCATAGGAACAATTAATTGGAGAAAAAGTATTCAGATTTCTGACTTAATATTCCCAGTATCTAACAATTATTTTCTTTGAATTGCAGATAAAGATGTTGCCCACTCCAGCCAAGTTCCACTACGTCTTCAACTTGCGTGACTTGTCCAGGATCTGGCAGGGCATGATCAACACAGATAATACTGTGATCACGTCCTCAAAGGAAATTCTGTGGTTATGGAAACATGAGTGTAGCAGAGTCATCGCAGACAGGTGAGTCATGTGATCAAAAAACTAGAAATGAATTCGACTTTTATGAATTTAAAAATACACAGAGAATATGATTTAACTATTTGAAATGAAATTCAAAATCATGAAAAAGTATGAATATGATTTGGATCACTTTATATTATATTTATTTATTGATTTATTAATTACATATCTTTACTATCATTATGATTTTTTTATGGACGAAATGTTGATGTTAAAATTATGTTGGCTAGATTTACAAACTTTGAAGACCTTGCATGGTTCAATAAAACCATGATTCGTGTCATCAATGAAGAACTCGGTGAAGCACTCGGAGCAAATGTTGAGTCTACTCATTACTTTGTGGACTTCTTGAAGTGAGTTAAGCAAGCAGCCACTCTTTGGATTGCATGACCTCTTGGTGGCCTCAACCTGGCTTTCTCCCTTTAGCTTTTTTTTTCTTCCATTTTGGTTGAGGCTTGCACTTCAGAAGAAGATTGGGCTGCTGTGAAGCCTGCATCTACCACCGACACAGCGATAGCTTCACCTTCTTTTTTTTCTGTTTTAGTTTTCTTTCACTTCAATTTTATTTTTTTTCTACTAACACACAAATGACAGGTTTACAACAGCAGATGATGCACAATGGTTTGAGAAAACCTTGTTGCGAGTCATAGGGGAAGAGATGGGGGAAGATAATTTAGAAATTGTCAGACCCACTTACTACTTTGGAGATTTTATGAGGTACATATTTTTTTAGTTCAGAAAAATCATACATTATGATAGGGTTACTGAAGAAACAACAAATAAACAGACTTGAATTCAATATATGTGTAATAAAACAAACATTTTCAAAGATTTTGTTGTATTGTACAGTCTCTGTAGTTTGCATAACTGTGTCCATTGTAACTTATAATTTGAATTTACCCAGAGTTGTCAAAATCTTCCTTGATTGTTTTTAATACAAAACAAACATGTAAAATGGTGCATAGTTTGTCAAGAGGAGAAGAAAAAAATTAAATTTAAAGAAACAGTACCTGAAGTGAAAGTAGGAAATGGTCTGAAATGAATGAAATCAGATTAATAAGATTTAAATTAATATTAGATTAGCAGGGTTATAAGAATATCCAGAATTAGAATAAGAAGTGCCATTTATAGATTGCCAAACTTAAAGGCACATTACCTAATTTTGAGAAGATGTTTGAGAGGCATATTTAATACTAAAATCAACATGTAGCAAAGTTTTCAGCTTCTATGAAAGAGTTTGGGTAAGATTTCAATAAAAAAAAACTTTTTAAATTGAATAAAATAACCATTTTCTTTAGATGTGATGCTTTTTTAGAATTAAGTAGAAAAAATACTTTATTTTTCCAGCTTTGGGACTTTAGAACTTTTAAGCTGAATTAAGAATTTCACAAAAATATGCTTGTTTTTTTTTTTCATTATGAGTTTGGTTTGGTAGGCATGTGTAGTTTTTATAGGAACTACATTCATTTCATTTTGTTCACTGTTTTGTTTTACCATTTCAGTTTTAATTTCAGAATGCACATCTTACTAGTATATGGGTTTTAAACCTGTTTTTAATTTGCTTTTAATTTATTGGGGTATCTCAAAATTTCCCCTCTAGATCTTTCTGCACCTGTTTCTTCAACTAACAGTCAACAATCCATTTAAATCCATTCCTTTATCCAATATGACTCTTTTAAATTGATGTACATGTAACTTGCAAGAATACAATTTTTTTTTGAATTTTTAATATTATAATGGCTGTAGATTTTCAGTTAAAGGTCATTTATAAGAACCATTTCCTTCTGTGTGTAATAATCTCTGTAGAACATTTGGCTTTGTTTATCTGTTTACATCGGTTGATCTCTGGTTTCTACAGGGATGCTCCAGAGGCCACTGGTGATGAACCGGATGATGCTGACTTTGACATGCCTAAGGTTTATGAACCGGTAAGTTGCTGGATGTTATTGTGAGGAGAATCAAGTTCAACACCTGAAATATTTTTTTATTGGAAAGGAAAGAAATTCTGTGTCTTAACAGTTAATCACTTTAATGTATCAATTTATTTGGCCTCAGAGTAATTGTTAATATCCCACTGGATAACGAAAAGTAATATTTTTGTGAATTATATAGCAAATCCTTAGAAGGCAATATGATTGATATGAAATATACAGAAAACCAAAATATTCAGAGTTGCTTGTCTTAATCTTTTGCTAAAAGGAATTCAAATTGCTTTGACATCTGCTGTTTTGAAATAGTAGTGTCCTATTCTCAGGAATATAATTATAACTAAACAACATTGTAATAACAAGGCAAAGGACCTCATGTTTCGCATATTACTGTACGTGTACATAAATTGGCGTTTTCAAAATTTAGAGTAATCACTGGGTTTGGAGTTGTTGGCGTAATCATGAATTAGCGCTACACATTTCCGTGTTGTGTATTGTATATTTAAATGATATCTTAGTGGTATTCATGATATAGTGCATTGTTGTCTGCGCCAAAGCCGCTAAAATATGAAGCCCGCTTTTTAAGTACACATACAGGTATTGACACCTGAAATAAACTTCTTTAGAAGAAGTGTAGAGAAAAACAACTGTGGGATGGAAATAATTTTCTTATGCAGAGAATAAAATGTATGTAAATTGTGTTTATTTTATGATAGATTCCCAGCTTTGAAGCATTGGAGGAGAGGTTACAGATGTTTTTACAGCAGTACAATGAGGGAATCCGAGGTTCCGGAATGGATCTGGTGTTCTTTAAGGATGCCATGATCCATTTGGTGAAGGTTTCCAGGATTATTCGCACCCCCCGTGGTAATGCCTTGTTGGTCGGTGTGGGAGGATCAGGAAAACAGTCCCTCACCAAGCTAGCCTCTTTCATCGCTGGGTACAAAACATTCCAGATCACTCTCACAAGGTAGCTATAGATAACTCTTCTGGGACATTCTATGTTTTAATGATTTACACAAATTTTATGGTATTGCTGAAAATGTTTTGAAGTTTTATAAAACATTTATGATTTTGTGTTTCCAAATGGGTTTTATATTTCATTTCTCTCAAATTTTTCTACAAGTGGAGGTTGTGGAAAGAAGAAATGGTAAATTGTAATTGTGACTATTCATATTGTGTCACTTCGTACAGTATGGGATATAAGTTCACATACAATTAAAGTAGAATATCAGGTCAAAAATCATGGCATACAAGAATTTTTAGCCAGCAGCTTGCATGATCACAGAAGAAAGCTTTAACTATGGAAAGTGAAAGTATGATAAATTTTATAGAAAAAAGTACTTTCTTTACAATGTAATATGTAACTTTGGCATGTGCATTTATCATATATAAATGTTCACTGAGCTTTCAGTGTTTACATCACACATATAGTTCAGAGGTACCTTAGGCCACAATTAAAATATTGTTGGTTTGGCGTTGCCGACTTAGTCTTTATACGTGTGGGTCGGTAGGTAGGGAAAATATTTTTTTTTATTTAAATTTCAGAAATGTTGTTAGTATCCGAACGTCATGGGTTTCCGATAGTTTAACAACAACCACAGTCCAAATTGATTCTCAGTTTTGTCATTGATTTTCAAATCCTATTAGTTTTAAACCTTTGATATACATAGTATTAAAAATCACTGACATTAAATTAGTGTAAATTCGAATCGTGCACGAATCCAAGCATGGCAGCTAGACTAGCAAATCGGACAGGACATTGTACTGTGAAATTTCTATTTTGAACTAGTATATCTTATTCATCAGTTTACTTTTAAAACCACATTACCACAGAGAGTCATGCCTTCAACTTCTGTTATACCGAGTTTACATTTTACCACTTTCGACAGCCATGCTTGGATTCGTGATATGCATTTTATTCAACATCACATAGATGCTTATAAATGAAAACTATTTGATCAACCAAGCGTTTACATGATTTTTCCCATTCTGTATATAATTATATTACGCAAACATACAAACACCTAAATCCAGATGAATATATCGAAATAAAAATTATGATCAGTATCTGTTGAAAAAATTCTTTGGACCACACTAATTTATGCGAATTGGCCAGCAACGCCAAATTAAGCTAATTTTATTTTTGGCCTTACCTGCAATTAATTTTGCATTGAGTATTGTGGGAAAATGTTATTACATATACATATGAACTTACTATTTAACAGGTCGTACAATGTGACCAATCTGCTTGAGGATCTGAAGTTCCTGTATCGTACAGCTGGGGCCCAGGGCAAGGGGATTACCTTCATCTTCACTGACCAGGAAATCAAGGATGAGGCCTTCCTTGAGTACCTCAATAATGTCCTCTCCTCTGGTATTGTAAGTACAAGTATTTTGACCGAAAACTTGTGTATGATAATTTAAAGCTTATCCTGAATTGTTCATTTTCAGAATCAATATCCTATTTCATAAAAATTCTTTAATTGGTCAGAACTGCTTAAAAGTTATGAGTTAGACTGACGAGAATTTACATGCTGCTATAAATCCCTGAGAAAAAGCTGACAAAAAATTTTCTCAGGATTCAAACTGTTAGGCACATGAGTGGAAAAATCATACCACGGTGACAAGTTCACTAAAATAATCTATTTTACAGGTTGCCAACTTGTTTGCCAGAGATGAGATGGATGAAATCATGGGAGACCTTATCCCCATCATGAAAAAGGAATTCCCGAAGCGACCCCCCTCTAATGAGAATCTTTATGAGTATTACCTGACCAGAGTTAGGAACAACCTCCATGTTGTCCTGTGTTTTTCACCAGTAAGTACTCAGAAATTCCACTAAATGTATTTACTGAAAAGCCTCTATGTACATACAAATTAACATACAATGTAAGAATAGGAAGTGTATTTTTAGATTCTTCAAAACACAAGGTTCTTTTTTAAATGCAAAAAGTTTTTGTGTAACATTTATGCATGATGTAATTCCTATTTTCTTAGGTTGGAGAGAAGTTCCGAGCTCGAGCCCTGAAATTCCCTGGTCTTATCTCGGGTTGTACCATGGACTGGTTCCAGCGCTGGCCAAAGGATGCTCTAATTGCTGTAGCTGACCACTTCCTGTCTAACTTCAACATTGAGTGTTCAGCAGAGGTCAAGAAGCAGGTCATTCAAACTATGGGTCTGATCCATGATGGGGTAGCAGAATCTTGTGTCAGCTACTTTCAGAGGTAACTATAAAAGCCTTATTAATGCCCAGTAAGTGATGAAATTTAAAAACTGGTGCATATGGTTCTTGATGTGTAATTTGCAGAAAGTTTACACTTGATTCTATTCTTCACATATTGGACTTTTTCATTTTAGGTACCGTCGTTCAACCCATGTTACTCCAAAATCATACCTATCATTCATCAATGGTTACAAAACAATCTACTCTGACAAGAAGAATGAAATCGGTGAATTAGCTGAAAGAATGAACACAGGTTTGGAGAAGCTCATTGAAGCTGGACAACAGGTGGCAAAACTGAAAGAGGAATTGGCAGTGAAAGAAAAGGAACTTGCTATTGCTTCAGAAAAGGCAGACAAAGTGTTGAAAGAAGTGACAGTCAAAGCACAGGCTGCTGAAAAGGTGAAAGAACAAGTGCAAAAAGTCAAGGACAAAGCTCAGGGCATTGTGGATGCCATTGAAAAAGACAAAGCTATTGCCTTTGAGAAGCTAGAAAAGGCTCGTCCTGCCTTGGAAGAGGCAGAGGCTGCCTTGAACACCATCAAACCAGCAGATATTGCTACAGTGAGAAAGCTTGGTAAACCTCCCCACCTCATCATGAGGATCATGGACTGTGTACTCATTCTCTTCCAGAAGAGGGTCAATCCAGTAGAAATGGACTCAGAGAGACCTTGTGTCAAACCATCCTGGTCTGAGGCTCTTAAGGTACTATCTGCTGCCTTTCTTTGAATTTCAGTAAATTTTGCTAGCTTCTTGTCCATAAAATCACATGAAGGAGAGGCATTTTGAAATCTGTATACAGGGTGTCTAAAAAGTTGGCTAAAAAATTATGAAAATAGTTAAAAGAAACCCTTCTTTTTCCTCTTTAGCTTATGTCAGGAACCAACTTCCTGCAGTCTTTGATAAACTTCCCTAAGGATAGCATCAATGATGAGACAGTGGAATTACTGGACCCCTACCTGTCACAGGAGGACTACACTCTGGAAGTTGCCAAGCGTGTCTGTGGTAATGTTGCTGGTCTGCTTTCCTGGACAAGATCAATGGCTGTGTTCTTTGAAATCAACAAAGAAGTCTTGCCATTAAAGGTATTGATACAAAATAAGACAAAACTTATTTTTTCACACTGTTCAATTCTGTATGTAAGAAAATCTGTATTCTAGGTGCATCTTTAATGATTGAGTTTTGATTCCAGGCAAATTTGGCTGTACAAGAGGCTAGGCTGGGTGTTGCCATGGGTGACCTTCAGAAAGCTCAGGCACAACTGGATGAAAAAGAGGCTGAGTTGGCTAAAGTGAGGGCCATGTATGACCAAGCCATGAGAGAAAAACAAGTGAGTGTTTAATTTTTAAGCGAGATTTTAAAATTTTTATCAAGCCTGTGCACTAGAGCATAACGTCACGTTGTTGACATTTATTTGATTTACCGGTAATTTGTTCCTATCTGTAGACCCTATTGGATGATGCGGAGACATGTCGTAGGAAGATGACTGCGGCTGCAGCTCTCATTAACGGTCTACAGGGAGAGAGGGACAGATGGACGGAACAGAGCAAAGAGTTCAGGGCACAGATTGGCAGGTCAGTCATCATCTTAGAGTCAATCTAACCATTATTAACCATGGAATTTATTTATTTCTTATTTTTGGAGTCTCAAACATCCTGGGTTTTCATAAAACTTTCTGAAGTTAGGTCATGTAATAGCACTGTATATATAGTATGTGCACTATCCTAGAAGGATTTCTTTTTTTTTTTTTTTTTTTTAGAAAATTTTGTGTTAAGTGTATTTACAATTAGTTGATCAATTCCAATTACAGTGAATACTTATTTCATATATACAGATACATGAAAACAAGTGACATTAATGCTGTTTATTCCTTGTCCTACTAATGAGGTAGTTTTATAATAAGTGAACACACTGTACAGTATAACAACTTGTTTGGGGTTTTTATTTTTCATGATTGGATATTTTTTTGCACCATACATTCTCTTTGGCTCAAAATACATGAAATTTTTTTTTAACCTAAGTTGAGCTTTTTAAAGGGTTCATAATTTCTGTATTAAGTTTCTCAATAATACATTTTTCAATGTTTGTTAAAATTTACCAGTGACAGTGGTGGTAGCAGGTGATTCAGTATTGTATCTTTGTTTTATTATTTATATATGTATAGTTCACTTTCAACACCAACACATTATGTACCTTTTATTGTTCACAAAACATGGCTGTAGTAATTACATCAATAAATGTTATATTGTCCAGACCCTTTACCATTATTACAATGTTCTGCACGGTATCATTTTCCTAAAATGACACTCAAAATGTTTTTAAATTTGTTCAATTCTTAAGATCAAACTTTTCCTCAGTCACTGCATCAAGCAAATACATGTAGAAACTTACTGTACAGACATAAATGAATAAGCCCATGTGTATTGCATGTAAATCTCCTTGTATGTGCATGAATAACCATGACTAAGAAAAATTCATAGATTACTGAAATATAAAACAAAACATCTATTTCCAGTAAAATTCTTGCACTAAAGATTGAATTCTTAAAGAGAAGTTTTTATATATTGTGGATTTTTGTGAATTTATAGATTGGTTGGTGATGTCTTGGTTTGCACTGCCTTCTTATCATACTCTGGTCCATTCAACCAAGATTTCAGACTTCTGCTGAACCAGAAATGGTTCAAGGAGTTAAAGAGCCGGAAGATCCCATGTACCCTCAATCTGAGTGTTATTGACATGTTGACAGATCCCACCATTGTAAGTCTTACATTTTGTTCATTAAGCAAACAAACGCACAGAAAACTAAAAGCATCCAATTGTTACAATTTTCAATATATTTTGAAAAGTTTTCATTTAATTCGAAATAAAACAAGCAGAGTTAATTCTCCTAACAAGCAGACATGGTTTTCTGCTCTAATAATTGTAAAAAAAAATTCCAAGATAAAGAGAACTGTAGAGCTCTGTATCAAAGAAGTTTAATTTGTACTTGCATTATCTATCAACCATTAATGACTTCACTGAAATTTTAGATTGGAGAGTGGAATCTGCAAGGTCTGCCCAACGATGAGTTGTCCACACAGAACGGTATCATTGTCACTAAGGCCTCAAGATACCCCCTCCTGATAGATCCCCAGGGTCAGGGCAAAAACTGGATCAAGAACAGGGAGTCTCAGAATGAACTCCAGGTAAGATTAGATAAACAGAAGGGGTGGGGGTGGGGGATCTTTCAAGATTAGCTTGAATGTCATCAACTTTCTTGATTATTGATCATAGAGATTGTTAACAACTTTGTCATATAGTACTCAGAGTTAAAAAAAAAAACACAAGGCAAACTGATACCCTGTTTCTACAATTCAAAATTTATGCCATGTAGTTTTTTAGGGTAGGTGTTCAAATAATTGGGAATTATGATATGTGTGAATCCAGTCCAATCATTGAGTATTTTAAAGACAGGAGATTTAAACCTTCTGTGATTTTATTATACCCCCGCTCCGAAGGAGATGGGGGTATACTGTTTTACCCTTGTGTGTCTGTCTGTCTGTCTGTCCGTCTGTCTAGCTGTCTGTCTGTAACAAATTTTGGTCGCAGTTTTCTCAGCAACTACTCATTGCAGATGTTTGAAATTTTAGCACAATCTTTGTATAGGCATGCCATATGGTGGGACACATTTTTGTACTAATCTGATGTAAACTTCCTGTTTATCCATGTGTCTGTTCGTACCACACATAACAAACTTTGGTCACAGTTTTCTCAGCAACTACTCATCGCAGGTGCTTGAAATTTTAACACACTCTTTGTTTAGGCATGCCATATGGTGGGATTCATTTTTGTACTAATCCGATGTCAACTTCCTGTTTATCCGTGCATCTGTCCGTACCATACATAACACATTTTGGTCGTAGTTTTTTCAGCAACTACTCATCGCAGATGCTTGAAATTTTAGCACAATCTTTGTTTAGGCATGCCATATGGTGGGATTCATTTTTGTACGAATTCGATGTCAACTTCCTGTTTATCCTTGCGTCTGTCTGTATCATTCATAACATATTTTTGTCGTAGTTTTCTCAGCAACTACTCATTGCAGATGCTTGAAATTTTAGCACAATCTTTGTTTAGGCATGCCATATAATGGGATTCATTTTTGGAACAAATCCGATGTCAGCTTCCTGTTTATCCGTGCATCTGTCCGTACCATACATAACACATTTTGGTCGTAGTTTCTCAGCAACTACTAATCGCAGATGCTTGAAATTTTAGCACAATCTTTGTTTAGGCATGCCATATGTTGGGATTCATTTTTTACAAATCTGATGTCAATTTCCTGATTATCTCTGTGTTTGTCCATAACTGAACTTGTGTATTCACATCAGAGCGGGGGTATTAATAGAGAGCATTGGCTCAGAGACTTCCTGTTTTTTTTTTTAATTTTCATTTAACATTCTGTACAAGTTTGAGAACAGTAGGAAGAAAATCTTTATACAGTGAAACTTGTCTAATCCTGATGTTCTTGATATGATGTTAGCTTTAAGTCCCTTGAAGTTAATTCAATTGTTTGAAATGTTCTCTAATCTGGAATGTTGTCTAAACCGGTCAATTTCTTTGGAACCAGCTGTGTCTGGATTAGACGAGTTTTACTGTACAGTATTTTTTTGGTTCATTCATAAGAATTGCTATAATATCAGAATGTTTATTTATAGCTGACCTCATTGAACCACAAATATTTCCGTACCCACCTTGAGGACTCCATGTCTCTGGGTCGCCCATTATTAATTGAGGATGTAGCAGAAGAATTGGACCCTGCCCTAGACAATGTCTTGGAAAAGAACTTCATCAAGGTTGGGTCAACACTGAAGGTCAAGGTTGGAGACAAGGAATGTGACATCATGAAGGGTTTTGTCTTGTACATCACCACCAAGCTGGGTAACCCCTCCTACACCCCTGAGGTGTCAGCTAAGACCTCCATTATTGACTTCACTGTCACAATGAAGGGACTGGAAGATCAGCTGCTCGGTCGTGTCATCTTGACAGAGAAGGCTGTAAGTTGACTTTTTTCACCAAAAAAAATTATATTGAAGAGTTATGTTCCATTGATTGCAACAAAGGTTTAGATCAGGAGTTGTAAATCTTAGATCACAATGAATATTCATGTTTCAAAAAAAAAGTTGAATGTTACTTCATATAAATTTTTTTTTTTTTCAATTTAGGAACTGGAATCAGAAAGAGTGAAACTGATGGAAGATGTCCAGTCCAACAAGAAAAAGATGAAGGAATTAGAGGACAACTTACTGTACAGACTGACCAGTACAAAAGTAAGGGAAACATTTCTTATTCTTTCAGCATTTGTTTGACTTTGGTCCCCTTGATGATTTCATCATAAAACTTGTAAGACAAAAGTTTTGACTGAATTCATGCTGACCATGTTCAACATTATGTTGTTTGAAGATTTTAACTATGGGTTTCATTTTCAGGGATCTCTTGTTGATGATGAGGACTTGATCAATGTACTGAACACAACTAAAGCTACTGCACAAGATGTCAGCCAGAAACTGCAGGTAGCTGCCGAGACTCAGACAAAGATCACCTTGGCTAGAGAGGAGTTCCGTCCTGTAGCAGCCCGTGGCAGTATTTTGTATTTCTTGATCGTGGAGATGGGACTTGTGAACTGCATGTACCAGACTTCTCTCAAACAGTTCCTGTACCTGTTTGACTTGTCTATGGCCAGGTAAGACTCTTTTTTGAGTTTGCCTATGCTTCAACATTTTATATCAATTCTGAATAAACCTTACCAAGCAATACTGTTCAAACTACATTTTTTTCTGTTTACATTGGATAACAGGTCTGCCAAATCTCCAATCACACAAAAGAGAATCCAGAACATCATAGACTACATGACCTTTGAGGTGTTCAAGTACGCAGTTCGTGGTCTCTATGAGGAAGACAAGAACACTTTTACCTTGTTGCTGGCTCTAAAGATTGATTTAGCAGCTGGAAAAATCAAACACGAGGAGTTCATGACCCTCATCAAGGGAGGTGCCTCACTGGATCTGAATGTTGTGCAACCCAAACCTCACAAATGGATTGTGGACCTGACTTGGCTTAATCTGGTGGAACTCAGCAATCTTCACCAGTTCTCAGGAATTCTAGACCAGGTACAATGTCTTCTTTTCACAGATTGATATCATTTCTCACTAATAGCATCTGTCACTGCAAAGTTACTTTTGATTTTAATTTACATAATAAAATCCTTAATTTTTTTCCCAGGTGAGCCGAAATGAAAAGCAATGGAGACAATGGTTTGACAAAGAGGCTCCAGAGGAAGAAGTGATCCCAGATGGTTACAACAACTCCCTGGACGTGTTCCGTCGTCTGCTGTTGGTCAGATCCTGGTGCCCCGACAGAACCATGTCACAGGCCAGAAAGTACATAGCAGACACCTTGGGAGATAAGTATGCTGAAGGAGTGATCCTGGACCTGGAGAAAATGTGGAGTGAAAGCAACAGCAGGAATCCAATGGTGTGTCTGCTGTCCATGGGATCAGATCCCACCAACAACATCGAAGCCCTAGCCAAGAAACTCAAACTAGGTCAGTTGAGATATTTCATGTGAAAATATTTTTTGTGGGGGAGGGCCTTGAATAAAATTTCCAGAGACTTCTCATTGACCACTAGAGAAGTCATTTGGGAATTTGATGGAAGTTGGTTACCAGTTTGTGTAGTCGTTTTTGTGAAATCTTGGTTTTTCTTGGACAGACTTTATAAAAATGCATAATTTACTGCTTTCAGAATGCAGAAACATTTCTATGGGTCAAGGACAGGAGGTCCATGCCCGTCGTATGATGGCACAAGGAATGGCTAATGGTGGCTGGCTGCTTTTACAAAACTGCCACCTGTCCCTGGACTATGTGGAGGAAGTCCTCGATCAGCTTATTGAGACGGAGACTATCCACCAGGAATTCAGACTCTGGGTCACCACAGAGGTCCACAAGAAGTTCCCCATCAACTTCCTACAGGTAAACATCTGATAGAGGGTGTAATTTACTAATTATACCCCCCCAAACGAAGTTTAGGGGGGGTATATTGGAATCGCCATGTCTGTCTGTCTGTCCGTCTGTCTGCCTGTCTGTAGACAAGATTTTGTCCAGAGCGTTTCTCGGAAACTATTCCATAGATTTGTCTGAAAATTTGTACACTTATTATTCACCATATGAAGGTGTGCACCTGGTATTTTCATCATGATTGAATAATTTTTCTGCATTTTACAGGTGTTTTTTTTCATTTTTATTATGTGGTTTTGTCCTGACCTTTTGTCAAAGACTATTTCATAGAATTGTATGAAAATTTGTACACTCATTATTTACAATATGAAGATGTGCACTTGGTATTTTCAACATTATTTGATAATTTTTCTGCATTTTACAGTTTTTTTTTTTAATTTTTATTGACTTAGTCATTTTGAGTTTATTTCTAAGGTTTGAGACATAGAATCTGTACAAAAATGTGAACTACAGCTTAAAACTATTCATTAAAAGAAAAAAAAAATTCACCAAGTATTAAAAACAATTTTATATTACAGAGCAGATAGTGTAAATCCATTTGTCCCTTGGGAGTAATGAGTGGACATCATCCAGTTAGAGATAAATTATTGAGTTCAGTGTGGGAAGTTGTTAGGGCATCTCTGATTAAGCGTGTGTTATCTATATCTCCTGGGAATTTAAAGATCTCTGTTCTTTAATTCTCTTAATTGTAATTTATTGTCTGTCATAGTACATAGTTACTGGATGACCAGCCTTTCATTTTTAAAATGAATTTGATATAAAGTTAACAAGATTAATTTGATTTTATTAATTTGATTTCGTAATTAATTGATTTTGTAATTAATTGATTTTTTTTCAACAATCAATTTGCAGAATGTCATGTCTCAAAAAGATGACAGATAGTTGCAATTTATTTTTTCAATGTATTAGAAAACAATGTAATTACAATGTATTGGTATTGATGTTTTATAAGGTTGTTCCTTGGTTTCATTCATTAAAAAAAATATAATGAGCAATTATTTTTTCACTCTAAATGTTAATAAGAAAATTGTGAACACCTCTTAGATCCATAAAATATTAGTGATTCGGCACCTCTGAAAAACCCAGCGGGGGGTATTCGTCCCCTTTGGACAGTTCTAGTTGCTTTAAACTTTGGCAGAAATGCCTAAAAGAAATGTTTCTATATAGTACTATAGGTGCAGAGATGAATCTAACCTTAGAAGGAAACCTAAGTATATATGTATTTACATATTCCTAAAATTTGTATAGATTCAAGTTACTTCAACTTATTTTGAGAGAGGAACCCATGGGGTTTCTTAATGCTCATTCTAAATTTTGATTGTTTTTACTGATACACACACAAGGAAGGCTCATTTTAATCCAACAAGGAGAGATAACTAAGAAGGATGTATAAATAATACAGTGTCATTGTTCATGTACTAGTGTTTCGGATAAAATCTGTCTACTTGTTTTACTTTTGCTTATATCCTTCTGAATATAGATGTTTCCCTCCCATGGGATAGAATGAATTTTGGAATAGTTTGAGAGTAGCCTATAAGAATTGTTTCAAGAAAGTGAAATATTAATGTACCTCTTTTTATATGACACAAATGTCATATTTTGTAAAACAATTACTGCATAAGAAATTTTCCAGAAAGCTTACAACATGGTTCTGAATAACTTTTCAAAGTAATTACACAAATTCACATATGAAGCTGTGATGTCTCACATCATTTGTTTTATTTATGATAATTAATCCAGAAAAATGTTTCTTCTAGCTAACAGATTTGTTTTAAAAAATAAGTTTGGTAACCTTGTTTAGTAAAAGCACATTGATAAATGTCTCAGATGCAACCAGTGTTAAATATTGCTTTTTTATGTTAACAGATTTCAATTAAATTCACCAATGAGCCTCCACAAGGAATCAAAGCTGGTCTGAAGAGGACCTATGCTGGTCTTAGCCAGGATTTCCTTGATATTTCAAACATGCCTCAGTGGAAACCCATGTTGTATGGTGTGGCCTTCATGCATACTGTGGTGCAGGAGAGAAGAAAGTTTGGACCACTGGGATGGAATATTCCATATGAATTTAATGCTGCTGACTTCAATGCTAGTGTCCAGTTTGTTCAGAACCATCTTGATGACATGGACATCAAAAAGGTTATTTACATTTGTTTCTTACTTTCAAATGAAAGTTTCTCTGAGTGAATCGTCTGTATGAAATAAACTTTCATTCAAGAGGAAAACAATTCCCTAGATTAATAATTAGAGTAAACATTCAAAGACTTGTGATAGGAGTGACATTGTTTGCTATGAACAACAAGAACTGATCATGATAAATTTTTCCTCTTTACCTATTTGTGAAACAAGTTATATAGGAACATTTAATAAAAAATGCTGAATTTCAAAAGTATTTATCACTGAATAAAACTTTGAAAGAGTTTTTTTTCTCACTGTTGTAGGGAGTGAACTGGACATGTGTTCGCTATATGTTTGGTGAGATCCAATATGGAGGACGTGTGACAGATGACTTTGACAAGAGACTGCTGAACACATTCTGTAAAGTCTGGTTTGGAGAGAACATGTTCCAGAGTAACTTCTGCTTCTACAAAGGATACATTATTCCTAAATGTAACAAAATGCAGGAGTACATGGATTACATCAATAACCTGCCGGGTACTGACACTCCCGAGGCGTTTGGTCTGCACGCCAATGCTGACATCACGTAAGTCAGGATTTCTGTCTCTTACACAACTCTGAAAAGCTTGTATAAGAATTAGTTTGTTCTCAAGATTTCATTTATGCAGTTTGAAAAATTTAATTATTGTCTTTACTTATGAATATTTATGCACATTAAACAAATTTTATGATAAACCTACATTGTAGATGTCATTCACAAGGTCAAAGTAAATTAATGTTAAAATGATAAACCAACTTTAAATAACCATAAGCATTGCATCTTCATCGTTTTCATTTTGTACTGCAGATATCAGAGCAAGTCAGCAAAGACTGTACTGGATACTATCCTGGAGATCCAGCCTAAAGATAGCAGTGGGGGAGGAAGTGGAGAGACTCGCGAGTCCATCGTGTACCGCATCTGTGATGACATGTTAGAGAAACTACCCAACGACTACGTACCATTTGAGGTCAAGGCCAGATTGGAGAAAATGGGTCGCCTGCAGCCAATGAACATTTTCCTCAAGCAGGAGTTGGACCGCATGCAGCGTGTCATCTCAACAGTGAGAAACACACTTCAAGACCTGAAACTGGCCATTGATGGAACCATCATTATGAGTGAAGCTCTACGTGATGCTCTTGACTGCATGTATGATGCCAGGATTCCTAAACTGTGGCAGAAGGTTAGTAAAAACCCTAATATTCAATCAGTCAATAACAAGCTATGCAACCTAGAGAACACACATTTCCATTTATGAGAGAAGTTGTGCTTGGTGTTGTATACACAATAAAGATTCTTGTATGAGGAAAGAATCTATAGTGTACTTATTGTCTTTTTCACAGATTTCCTGGGACTCCAGTACCCTCGGCTTCTGGTTCACTGAACTGATTGACAGAAACAGTCAGTTCCATACCTGGTGCTTTGATGGCCGACCAGTGACTTTCTGGATGACTGGATTCTTTAATGCTCAGGGATTCCTTACAGCAATGAGACAGGTAATTAATAACACCAATAAATGTAAAATTAATGTTTCCATTATTTCACCCCAGGTTTGAAGCTGTAGTTTCACCTGAATTTTTAATGATGAAAAACTACCAGTGGTAAAGTATATGAACTGGAATTGCAGCAAATACATTGGAGATTAAGAATTTATGAATTTCATGCTTGCTGTTTGTTTGCAGGAGGTGACAAGAGCTCATAAGGGTTGGGCTTTAGATGGAGTGGTCCTACACAACGACGTTACCCGCCAGATGAAGGATGACATTACCACACCGCCCTCAGAGGGTGTGTACGTGTATGGACTTTTCCTTGAAGGGGCTGGTTGGGACAAGAGGGGCAGCAAGCTCATCGAACCCAAGCCCAAAGTCCTGTTCGAGCCCCTGCCAGTTATCCATATTTACGCCATCAACACCACGTCGGATAAAGAGGATACAAGAATGTACAAATGTCCGATCTACAAGAAACCACGCAGGACAGACTTAACCTACATTGCAGCCGTCTTCTTGAAGACCAATCAAAACCCTGATCACTGGGTGTTGCGTGGTGTCGCACTGTTATGTGACATTAAGTAAACTGTTTTCTAAAACTTATTAGTATAAACCTTTACCAAAGTCAATGTTTCTAAAAGTCAGAAGACTGTTTTACATCAATATATATATTTCGGAAGTTGTTGCTAAATAATTTTCTTATAGTTTCTGTTACAGAAATATTAATATTTATACATAGGACATAGCTCATTTTTGAGTAATTTACACTCTATTGCCAGTTTTATATTTAATAGAAAATTTACAAATATTGATATTTTGATTTTTATCCGTCCATTGCTTTATTAGTTGGATAAGTGATTAGCATTGTGGTTATGGTGTAGTAATTACTTTGTCAGTTAACGTACATTATATATGTTGCCTTTTGTTGCACATTTGCTTGAAATTGTTTACAATCTACTTAACAAAGGAGAGCTATTCAAAGGAAGAGAACATTCATGCTTTTTTAATTGTTTCATTTTAATTGATTCATCTCATGAGAAAGGCACATAAAAGATCACTAACAATAAATTTGGGATATTTGATAGAAGGGATTGGAAATGTAAGTTAAAGTGTTGATAAACACACGTTATTGTCGTTTTTCTGAAAGTTTAGATAGTGTAGTGTTTAGCATAATGAAGATGATCCAGAAAGCTGTGATATGATAGCTAGGTCACTGACCTTTGTCATGTGATTTAATTAACCGTCCATTAAGTCTTTTAATTAGCCTTTCAGAGCATTATGTTGATATTTAGGAGATAATATTTATTTTTTTCTTCATTAGTAACAGATTTTTTTTTCTATCTGTCTTTATTTCTGTAGCATCCGTTTATAATTTGTTTGATTTTCACATCTTGTGGTGAAATGTTCATATTATTTTATACCAATGTTTTCAGTCGACTACTTCAGTAGTTCTGTTAGATAATAAACTTTATATTAATAATCCAGGGTTTATGTGTGTTGATATTTAAAACATTCTTTTGATGTCAGAACTTGGTGTTACTTTTGCATTACACCATTAACATTGATGGTCATGCACTTTAGATTGGTTTATTATCTTTGGTATCTAGATAATTAGTAAAAACACGCTGCCTCCTGAATATAAATCATTACAAAGTTTACACACAAATATTTGGCAACCAAGTCAATATTTATACAGAAGAACTACACTGACTGAACCATGAACTAGAAGGATTTTTAATTAAATCACTTAAAATTGTTTGGAAATTATTATTTCTAGACAATAATGTATATATATGATCTTTCATCAAGTATGATACCTATATATGTACACTTCATCATTTCTATTTACTTACTTCTATCCTGACCAGATGTCTCTTATAAAACTGCAGCTCTACTGATCTAAATCATGATAAATAGTGTAAGAGAAAAAAGTTGGATTTCTGGTATTTGTATCATGGCGACACTGTTCATCCAAATCAAAATTTTGCAGTTATGTTGCTAAATATGTAGCGCAGCCTCTTTTTGAAGCATGCATGACGTATTCACTGTCAGATTGTAGGTTCATAAAACAGCACTATCAGTGTACAAGTATTAACAATGAGTACACACCCATATGGATTTAGACTAGATTAGTATTGTACTATTCTCTTTACAAGCTTTAATATATGACTACTCCAATATATATATATATATAAATTAAAAAAATTAAATATATGAAGCACAGAAATAAATAAAATATATGAAAAATCACAAATATTTCTTAAAATTTAAAGAAAAATGATAAACCAATATATATTTATCACAATTTGGTAGTACTATCAGGGACCTAGGTCACTGGTATTATGTGATAGACTTATGTGGTATCTTTTTGTGCAAAAAGAAAAACATTTAATATATTAAAACTGAAGTACGCATGGCAAAGCAACAGTAATTTTTCCTTAATGTCAAGGAAAAACATATGACCTTGACCTGTTGATAAAATAAGACGGTCAAATTTATATTGTGATTTGTCGTTTCCGATGTATGAAAGTTTTATTTTTAATACATTAATTAAGTTTTATATATATATATATATATATATATATATATATATATATATATATATATATATATATATATATATATATATATATATATTAAAAATCTTTCCCTAAAATGTCCACATTTTTTGTGGGAAAGGGGGGGGGGATGTCAAATGTCTAGCGCCAATTAAGCCACACGGGCCGGGTTGGTGTCAATCTGAAATTAAGATGACTTGTCTAAAGTGATGGAGCACTTAACTGTATATTCTAGTTTAATAATTCCTATACTTTTTTTCTATGGAGAACAGATGGAATGTGTTTGAATTATTTAATAGTCTGATTACACACTTAAAATAATCAATGCTGATTTTTTTAAGCCAACCAGATTGGTGTGATAAAAGATGTTCTTATATTATTTACAAACTCGTTACCTTCATAAATCAGATCATTTTTATTTACAAAAGACGTATATAAACATGTGTGTGATATCGTAAAACTAGTTGAAGAAATGTATTTCAATTTCAATCAGCAAAAACTCATACAAAGCGTATAAAATATAAATACACTCTGTGATTCGAAGGAAATCGGACACTGTTTAATCGCAAATAACAAATTCTACCAACAAATCTCGCCTAAAAGTGCACAGCATGAAATTCATGTATCAAAGTTTGAAGCTGTTCTGTGAAATATTATATATGAAAAAGGCAGAACTTGATGTTAACCCTAAAGAAAGAACAATAAATAGTCTATCACAAAATAACCAAGGTATCTAGACAAAATTAATCGAGGTCTCGTAACAACAATGATTGTTTTTGCTGTGATGAATTATGCAACATTTGGAACGGAGGTTAAAATCAACACAAAGATGAATATGGATTTCAATAAAAAAAATCATTATCAGCATCGATTCCCTGGTCTCACCGATTGTTCTACATAATAGACTGAAAGTGAATTTACGTGTTATAGAGAATTTATGGTAAGATAACCTAAGTCAACAGCTGGATCTTTCAAGTTTTTCATTTTTTAATCAATCAGGTCTTGTTAGACATTATCTACTGATTAGCACGATCATATGTATGATGTATGCCTTTTCTTTTCACTTTAATTACGAAATCGGCATCCCTTAACAGCAGAAAAAAGTAGTTTGATATGATAGAGAAATTCTTTGATAGGAAAAAAACAGCAAACATATTTGGCTTCTTAGAAATACGAGTACCTTTCATGTACATGCATTTTAATACCCCCCCCATCTCTCTCTCGAAAGTTGTCTTACCCCACAATGCCTGCATGTTGTAAGTCACGTGTTCGTTTTGAACAGTGCTGGAATGTTTGATTGAGAACTTGTTCAGGAGGACAAATTTATTATTTGTGTCAAGTGAATAAATGTACGAAGTGGTTGAATTCTTTGAATTTCAATTTTAGTGAATAGTTTTGCATGTATAAAACACCGCTCCCACGGATAATCAATGAACATCCCTTAAAGTTTGTAAAACTTAAGAAGACTATGGTACGATGATGCAAATGATTGTGTTAATAGCCAGACAACTGCCAGGTGAAAGATTGAAATTTTCTAATTAATTGCTTCAGGAACCCATTTGGAGGTATGAAATTCTCTCTGGTCCTCTTATTATGAAGATGGTAACACAGCTGATCGTATTATCCTGGTATCAGGGAGGGGAAAAAAGAGTTCAAAGTACAGAATCAAAGCCATTGTGCTATATACATGCAAGAAAGCAGGAAATGAAATTATTATACATGTTCAAGACTGGGATATAATAGTACAATCATGAATGGAAAATTTGTACTCGTACTGACAAAACATCCATTTCTTTTTCCTGCAACCCCATGAAACAGTAGCAGAAAGAAAAAACTTGTAGAAGGATTCCTTTATTTTTCTTTCTAAAAATGTACCCAAAAGATTTAGAAATATAATATTTTAGCTAAGAATGTTTATCTAATATTCAAAGAAATATGAAATTTTTATATAGACAATTGTAAAACTGTTTGTGAAGAATTTATTATCTCTAGAATACATGTTGAACACGAAGTTTTCACTGAAATCCAGCCTTGTGCTATATTAAGAATTTAAAAGGAAAGAATTAAATGAAGCATCAGATGATATTCGGTTTTTTTTTTCTCTGAATGCATTGGATTTCCTATTAGGTGATCACAGTGTAAATCGATATTAAGTATATGAAATTAAAATGACTCTTAATCTCAAAAAAAAAGAAGAAAAGATTTCCCGGAATACTAGTTATCCCTGACATATTGAATATTAATCATGTTTTCCAATTATCAGGATTTCAGTTAATTAAGGAAGAGTCTGTAGATATCGAAGTCATGCGTTTCCTTTATACTTTACTCATAATTTTCTCCCATGGTACGTTACATTATTCATAATGCATTTCTATTACAAAGTATCTACACTACAGCCGATATCAAACTAAGAATATAAGCATAAGTTACACCAATGATTTTTTAAAAAAAAAAAAAGAAAAAAAGAAAAAAAAAAGGAGTCTTATTATCTCAGTCGAACTATTTAAACATACATGAGAGTTTGGTTTCATCTTTCGTTTCAAAAAAATTACAAATGAAATCTTTGGATATTTGAAAACTAAAGTAGGAAAACATTCATCTAATTTCCATTATATGTATTATATGTATTTCATTTGGGTAACCGATTATGTCAGTTTCCATCCCACGTGAAGTTAATTTGAGCTTTTCTGACTAAAAAACATACACGAGTTAACTAGAATCAGGCAATTGCCCAATAAATAGTAATTCCTTTTTATAAATATTAATAGGCATATTAATTTTGCTCCAAAATTGTTATAGCAGAAGTTTCTGAATAAATACAAAACTGGATGGAATAAATTTAAATATTCACTAGTACCAACATTATCAAAAATGCAAGTTACGAATATTAGATTTTTTCTCTCTTCCTCTCTTATTAATTTGCTGATTTTATATATATATATATATATATATATATATATATATATATATATATATATATATATATATATATATATATATATATATATATATATATATATATATATATATATATATATATATATATATATATATATATATATATAATTGACAATTAATATTGGAATTCCCATGGGTACCAATTGCTCCCCGTTATTAGCAGACCTATTTTGTATTCATATGAAGCAGAATTTGTTCAAAATCTTTTACGTGAAAAGAAGAAAACACTTGCTGTGGCCTTCAACTCGACATTTAGATATATCGACGACATATTGTTAATAAACAATGGTTATTTCCATTCTTATGTCGATACGATATATCCCGATGAGCTAAAAGATATTACAGAGTCAGACACATCTGTTTTTTATTTGGATATTTTACTTGAAAAAGACGTTAATGGTAACCTAACAACTAAGCTTTATGATAAACGTGATGACTTTAACTTTTCAATCGTCCACTTCCCTTACTTATGCAGCAATATACCTTCATCACCTGCATACGGGGTTTATATCTTTCAGTTGATTCGATACGCAAGAGCATGATCTACGTATGTACAATTTCTAAAACGAGGTAAATTATTGACAAACAAGTTGAGGAAACAAGAATATCAGCACTCTCGTTTAAAGTCATCATTTCGTAAGTTCTATTGTCGATACAATGACCTTGTCAGCAAATACAATTTATCATTGCGTCAAATACTGACTGACGTTTTTCATACTAATTGTAAGGCCAATATTTACAGAGTGAATTGTCGTCGGATTTTTCCGTTATTTCCCGATCATGACAAGGAGCACACGGCGGGTGTGACCGGTCGGCAGGGGATGCTTACTCCTCCATGGCACCTGATCCCACCTCTAATGTTTTGGAGGTCCGTGTTTGCTCTGCTTCTATTTTGTAATGTTTAATGGACTTCTGAGCTTGAACACTATTTCGTTATCTTCATATATTTCATTTAGAAAGT